TGCTTTGATGACGCTCTAATTCAAAGGTGATTTAACTCGTTCGCTCCTCGCTCTGCGATGAATGGTTGAGTTTATTTTGCAGCCGTCTCTGCTCTCGTGTTCCACTATGAGCTGAACAAGGAAGGCTGGTTTTGGACGTAACCCTTTGAAACTCCGGAAGCTGTGGCCAGACAAGTCAGTTTTGTGGCTTATCTGTACTTGGATTGGATTGTCCTGTCAGAAAAACACTGTTTCGTAGGTGTTGGTAGCCGTTGCCACAAATTAGCATATACAAATATACGCAAAAATCAAAGAAAAGAGGCTTAAAATCATCATTTAATCCAATGAGTCTTAATTTCCGACGCGAATTTACAGATTTGGAAGCGGTGCATAAATCGTGCTCCGATATAAGTCTGTATGGTGGTGAAGATGGATGTATAAAGTCAGCTATAACAGATTTTCCAGGCAACTTAATGAAGCTTAACGGTCAAATGTTACAATGCTACTGTAGTGACAAGGATTATTGTAACAGTAAGACAATGGTAACCCCGTCAGTAATTTTTGCAGTACTTTCGATACTTCAGTTTCTAGTGATCTGGTGTTGAACCATTTGTATTGTTATCGTTAAATACTTTTATAAAGTAAATAGCGAAATTTTGATTTCTGTAAACTGCAAGATAGATCTGAATGCCCTTTTCAGGCTCTGCATCACCGCTCCCGAAATAATGTCACATTGCAATTGCACACGAATTGCTAGAGCCTACGTTTCTCCGTGAAAGTTTAGGGAACAATTCGGCGGTGGTGTAAAGCAAAAAGTTCGGATTCTCATGGACTTCTTATGTTGAATATTTGGTCAGTGCAATAAGCTACTGCTTTTGGCACAGCTCTTCGGGTGGGGTCGGAAAAAAGCCCATATCAGTGAAAGCTAGCGAAAAAAAGAGATGAATTTTCGGCAATGTGGTTTTCACTGAACACTCCCCTCACCTTATTCTGCATTACTGATACTGCTCGGCAGTATTTTAAGTGATTTTAAACGGAACGGGGGATGGAAGATGGCATGTTTTTGTGCACTCCTATCTTACTTTCGCCTCGAACCCCTCCTCATCTCTCGGTATATTGTGTCTCCAACGCCATACTACCACCACTTCTGATCACTTCTGATCATCCAGTCGATCTCTCGGGGCATGCTTAGAGATGCGATGGGCAAGTTGGAAGTGAAATGCTGCAATCGCAGTTTGTCGGAAATCAGTTTAATTCATTTGAAACCAGTCCAGTTCGTCCGCTCACACAAGTTCCGCTATGATCGGGTTAAACAACTTGCCGATCCCGCGGTGCATCCATCCGATCTGCGTGTCGTTCTCGCCCAGTTTGCTCCTGAGCTAACCGCAACATGCTCTTCCCGCATCAGCTGTTTGTTTAATTTAAAATTTGCACAATATGCTGCTGTTCGTTACGCTCTGCTTACATTTGTTGATGCCAGCCGGCCGGACGCATCAGCCAGCAACTCCCGTTTCCACTGATCAGCAGCTGTTCCTGGAATGTTTTGCAATGCTCCTTCCCGCTCTCTCGTTTTTCACTCTTGTAATCACCGAATTCCCGGGTCATTGCAGTCACTCACTGTCGGTACTGCTTCTTCAGTCAAGCACCGTCCTTCTAGTGTATAAAGCACAATTTGGCGGCCATTCTATAAACGCTAAAATCTCCGCTGAAATCTGAACTGGTTCTTCCCTCTCGCTTCTCCTCTCCGCACTTTTCTACCTCATCCCTCTGTCCATGTTACCCAAAAAGTTCCAATCGATGTCTCATAACTTGCTTCTGAAGTGAATTCATCGCCAAAAATGATTTTACGGGGATTGCTCGTTAAAAACGGAATGAGGGACTGATGCTCCCGAAATTGACACAGATGCCAGTTGTAACTAAACATTAATTTTCAACCAATTGCCTGTGCTATGTACGATCTTCCAGTGTACCAGTGTAGCAAGAAAAAGTCAGGGGCTGTTGCCATGACTTTTTCTTGCTATACAGCAGAGCCAGAACTCGAAAAATTTGTCCCTTGTTCAGAAAAATGCGATTAATTCTCCCCAGAAATGCAGCTAGCCAAACAAGCCCGTCCTGGTAAAACACTTTTCATTTCTATGCACTTCTGCTATCAAAGTGGGAACATGTCGAGACCTCTGTATTTGTGTATATGTTTTTCTCCTTGTTTTACGACAATCTGACTTCAAAAAATTTGAAAAGATTTCTTCTGTCCTGTTAAAACAGTGCTGAAACGGAATAGTGGTTCAGTATTTGTGGATTATAAGCTCTAAGTGACAGCTAAAACGAATGGGTAAACTAGAACGCACATGATTATTAGAAGAGTTCGAGGAGTCTGCTTCTCAGCGTAAGGAACGTGAAAAAATAAAAATGCATATGTTACTCATGCCACTCTGTACCTTGGATTTTTTTATCCCACTTTTTTTTAATTTGTGTTTGTTATTAGCTGTGCTTGGAGGATTTCTTGTGAGAAATAGACTACAGTACAGTTTAAATTATACTATAGATTGCAACTTTTGACACTATGCCTTTTTTATTTCTCAAACTCTGACCTCAACCCAACTGAACTGCATAACAGCAAAAAAGAATAGATGGAACCATGTAGGAATTCTGCCTCTGGGTGGACAGTCAATTACTTCAAGAACTGTTGTGACCAAGCATTACTGCGACCTGCGCTCAGCAGTTTACTAGTTTACAGAAATCTCACGTCTCTGGTGATAATGTCTGATAGGGAATTCTGTTTTAAGATAAAATTTTCGCAGCCTGTTCAATTCAGCTGCCGATTTTTCGTCTCTCAAAACAAGGATTTCTAACAGAACCAGAAAAAAAGAGCATTATTACAGCTTCGCTTTTGGTCTGAATTGCATTTAAAACATAAGGAATGTGATTCCTGTAGGTGCAATAGGGCGTGCTCCGTGAGCCACCATTGCTATTTTTCGCGATGTTACTCAGGATATCAACACTGTCGTTACAGCGTCGACGAACAGTTCACAGGGTCGCTATCTGCATGTTCATCTTTCTGTTCTCAGCCATGTTCCCATGCTGCATGCCATCCATTACCCAATGTTTATGTTTCAAATTTTTCCTCCTTAAAAGTTTTATCTTCAAAGAATTTGAGGATTCAAAAAAAACCGAAATTTAGATTTTTTTTTCTGTTTATTAGTTTGTCCATCTCTATTAAATTTGCCGAAAGGTCCCCTTGCTGCTTCTCAAAACGCCAGGATTTATCACTACGCCAAGATTTTATCGCCTTCTCAAGACGCCAGGATTTAACAACCTCACGTATTAGCTCCACCCAGTGTCGACTGAGGTGTCACTGCAAATACCGTGTGTCTTATCGTCCAAAATCATTTATGCATTTTTGCTTTGCGTCAGGGAGAAGTTGCGGATACATGGTTTTCCGCATAACTTTGAGTTTTTTTGCCAGCTAATGGTGATTAAACAAATACGCTTAACAACCGCTGCAGAACTGATTCTGGAATCCTGCAAACTGTTTTAAACAGCAGTAAAGAGCAAGAGTGCGAAGCTGGTTGAGACTTGTTGAGGGGATTGTGGAAGGAGAGAACGATGTTGTAGAAGTACAGGAGGAAGTTTTGGAGGGAGACAGGACTGTGGAAAAGAGATCCGATTAAGAACATCTGGACGTTGTGAAGATAAAAAGTGTATGCATAAAACGCGTACTCATGCCTGCTCCATACTGATGTACCGTCATCCATCTTTTTCCTGAAGTAGAAACATTTTTAAGAATGGGACTGGGCAACCAGGAGCAGTTCGCTTCCCCTTCCCTCCCCTCTTCTCCCTTCCCACCCTATGAATTTGTTGAAGCCAATGCTCTTTTGTAACAAATGGTGGCGAGAGCGAGTGATTTCCGCCTTCCTGATAAATCCACTGCTGCGAAATATTTGATAACAGTTTTGCAGGATGCAGTGCTGAGAGATTTTTCAGCCAAGAGTGTCGTCCCTTGTTATATGTCCTCGAATGCTACGGCCACAAAACTCTCTCGATGGGTTATTTTTTGCGCTTTTTTCTGGCTGCCTTTGTGGCATTCATCGCTTTTGCAGTTTATTCGCTGAATAAGCACCCCGCCACCGATCACGTTCGTTCACTTTTTTTTCCCGCGATGTTTTTAATACTCAGAAAGAAAGTTTACTGCTTGGAAATTCGAAAACTGACGCAGTAAAATTTGCTCTTTTGCGGGTAAACGAGCCGTTCTGATGGCGCAGTCAGGGCTTTCTGGAACACAAAATTCTTTGGTGTATTCCAGAAAAGAAATAACACTTCACTCATGCTTATTTCTCAGTTGACAGTCACTAAAAGAAACAGTTTTTTTTTTAATTTACAATAACAACACAACCGTCGTGTTGACAAGATGCAGTTGTGGTGATGAATAGGAATATGTGCAACTGAATGAACCAAAACATTCCTTTTTAATGCTTCCCTCTTTCTGCTTATACTCATTTATCTTGCATTACTCCTAGTGCATTACTCCTTATTATCTCAAAAATAAATTCGATAATTTTTGTTGTTGGTAATAAATTGATAAATAATAAACTGATAAATAATAAACTGATAACAACTTAGCACTTCTTGTTGATAATAAATAAAAATTTTGAGTCAGAAAGCTGAAGATATGACTCAGTGACAAAGAGAGTTATTCTTGTGCTAAAAGCCAAGGATGCGAATTCCGCCAATGGGACAATTGTTCGTTTGCTCCGTTGGCAAACTGGTAATGGGTATATCAGATTGCCCTCAGCTTGCTTCTAAGCATTTACCAAAAGAGAAAACCATAGATTTGTCAGCGGATAGTTGCTGTGCTACCATGCTTGCCACTTTCTAATGCTTGCCTTTCATCGAGAATGAACGATGGAGGAGATTCTGGCTCTGACCTTGGAAAATTTTTTTAACTTCTTTAATTTCCTTATAAAAACAAAAAATGTTGTGCGCCTTGAAAAGTAGGTAAGCACCTGCTTCTGCTAATCACTATCTTCCAATGCAAAAGTTTATACGGAGACTAACTCCCTAAAGCTTGTCAACGAATGAATGACATTGAAAAATGCTTCCTTGAACAATCTGATCATAGTCCATTGCAGGAGGAGCCTAAATGCCTATCAGCGAAGGAAGAAATGAGTGGAAAGAATTAACTTTTAGAGAAAGATCTAATATGTATGGTAAAACATACATCTTGGGATCATGCCCAGGCCCTTTAGCCTGAGGCGTGAAAAATAGAAGTGTACAAAGAGTGAGGTTAATCAGAAGGCATTACTAGCTACCTCACAGCCTTGTACTTTATTCAGGCAGAGTTGTCCATGTGCGCATGTGTAAAAACAGAGACAGGACAATTTGAGCAGAACTCACAAAAACAAGTTTAAACTTTCTTTCGCTTACTTCTTGAATTTGTTGACTTTAGCAGTTATTTGTCACAGTTGCTTAGTGTTTGCGTAGCTGAACTGATTATTTTTAGCCGACCATTGCCGCTGATGGATGGTTTGGTAGTGGTAAGAAACGGGACGACGATGAGCGCATCATGCCAGTTCTGGTCAACGTCTCCAGCCAGGCTATTGAAGTAAGCTCGTTCCGGTCTCGATCATTGACCTTATCTCTCAGCTATTTTCCAGTCGGGGATTCCAAAATATTTCTTTAGAATGGCAACAGTATTGTTTTCCGATTAAAAGGCAAAATGACAGCTTATTAATTCGGCCTACTATTATAAGTTCCCTCTCTCTCTTTTCCGAGTTTCCTAGCATTGTTTTGCACCAAAAAAGAGCCACTTATACAAGTGAATTAACAGGAATAAGTGGCAGGAATTGGCAGAATAAAATTCCTTATTTCTTCGTTCATATCCTCTGGAGCAAATGAGCTTAATATGTTTTTGGTAATTTAGTATGCAAATTTATTGTATTCCTCGAAATGAATTTCTCCTTCTTTATTAAAATTTTCCAAAACGACAAATACTGTGGGTCAAAAAAAAAAAAAAAACTTTGTGAATGCTTTGTCTGTGTATACAGCTTAGGATAAAACATAGGCAGACTGTTTTTCAGTCGCTCTTACCACCACGTTTTCGGTTCTTTTCTTCCTTTACTATTTCATTTGTCTGTGCTACTGCCTTCTTGCAATAAATCTTGCGCTTCTCCAGCTAAATGCCACCACATCACTCAACAGAAATCGGACTGCAAATCTTACAATAACAAAAAGTTTCAGGACTTGAAATATCGCCTAAGAAGTGCGCGGATTAGCTATGACCCCCTGGAAGATGAGGACAATTTTCAGTACGGTTTCAATAGCAAATATCTGCGAGAGCTCACGAATTACTGGCTCAACAAATATAATTGGCGATACCACGAAGCCATCATAAATACGTTGCCTCAATACACCACCGAAATTGAGGGCCTGAAGGTTTGTTACTCTGCAGCGACCTCTGATTTTACTTCGTCAGCAAGGCGTACAACTCGGGGGACCGAACAGCCGAGCACAAATGCTTTCGACCGTGTGGAAGCATCTCAGTACCATCACTTACTCCGAGACGGTATTGCTGTTCTCGGCAAATTTGATATTGTCAAGTGCAAGCAACGTCGGGAGTGTAAAATTTTAGGTCTTGAATTCTTTTCATTAGCTGACTAGCAATTCTTTATTCTGATGGACTGTCAATGCTATTGGCACGTCTGACAGGTTTTTTTCTTTGGTTGCTGTTGTACCGCTTTTTGGTGTTTCGGAAGTTAATCGCTTGGTTGGACTTGTTTACTAAACTAATTTGAGTAAAAGGTTGAGCAGGATTCCCCTGTGCAGCTTCCTTGAATTTTGCGATAGCTGTTGCATCTCTCCCGCCGTCCCATACATTTATTGCTTAGAATTAACCATATTCCACTGGTGTATCGGGTACAGCTAACTGCACCGCCTCTATCCCTTTAAATCCTAGCTTATCATCTGAAACTGACAAAGTCAAAGTCTGAACTTCTCCGGCATTCGTTGTTTTCGAGATCCTTAAGCACTCAGAAGTACCGCGAATAATAGCAAGTGCCATAGTTGCTGCCCGTTGGCAAAGATGCTATAGATGACTCCTTCTCTGCCAAAAGTTTTTCAGAGCGTGCTTAATGCCTGACTAGAAATTAGTTTGACGGAAACGGTTATTATTTCTGTTTGCATATCAGAATCTGGTTATTAACATGCGAGATTTTCTACTGTCAAATATGCACGGCCGGAGCGGTCGTTACCGCAAGGTGCTTACTTTCAGGTGCACTTCATCCATATGAAACCAGCCAGAGGCACTTAT